ACTGATCGAGTTTGAGCATGAATCGAACAGTGTACATAAGCGAAGAATTTCATCTGAAAAATGCGCCTACGCTCTATCAAATGTTATTGGAGCGCTCACAGTTGTTTACTACTAACTGCGATATCTGATTCAAGCACCTTGCAGTTTACATTCATCAAATTGTTTTGTTCAGCTTTTGTGACAGATTTGTGCAAAGAATTTTGTATTGTCAAGCGATATGATCAATCGTTTCATGAATTTTTCACGAAAATTTCTCAGTAAGGCGTTCGAAATCATAGAAAACATAGAATGAAAACAAATACTTTCATCCCTGAACTAGTCCATTGTTTGAGTTCAACATTAGTCGCGCGTCGCCTTCAACAATTTGTTATATTTTTGGAATTCAGTCAGCTGGAATGAAATTTCACTGATTAGATTTCGCTTCTCTGAATAAATGATTGTCGTGCAATGTCGATATCGTGAAAGTCAGTTACCTGGAACTGATATTGTTGACTGATATGGATAAGAATGCATAAAATCTATTGCAGAAATAGTGTTGTGTCTATAAGAAAGATGTGTCTTGAAGATGCTATGATGGCTATCATCGATCAAGCAAACCAACCACAACCACAACAACAACAGCTGAATGGTGATGCTAATGAAGAGCTGATAGCGAAACATCAACCTTCTGATGAATCGCATGATGACGATTCCATTCTGTTGTGCACGACAACGGTCGATTCGAGCGATCAAGATACGCCACTCAACGATCACATCGATGATGAATGTCCGTCTCCACAACTCACCACTCGCGCTAAACTGTAAGTGTTCTTTTGCAGTGGATTTTGATTGCATTCGCTTAGCTTTCACTTGTTCATTTGTTTATTCAGTAACTCATTAAGAATAAAATCTTCTTCAATAACATCACAAGTATCAACGATTGTCACTTTCTGTGTCCAATTTTGATCGGTCAGCTTGCAAATCGCTTCCCTCAATCTCATTCTCGATCATCCTATAATCCTCTTCCAAATCTTCGGATGGCATTCTGTTACTCTTTCTGCCCAAATTTCCTCCACCATTAACACTATCTTCCTTGCTCATCCAAAGTCTCTTTTTGTCGTAGTTGAATTTGGTGATTCGCTTTAGCTAATAACAATGTCTTTAACTTACATTTTCCATCATTCTTTATACAATTGCAAGCTTATTCTCATTTGGAGAATTTTATTTTCTAAAGACTGTCTGTATGCGTGAAACAATTTTCATCACCAAATTGATAATGTTAACCATTGTTCGAAACAATTCATGTTCATCCAAAAAAAAGAGGTAACGTATATATGTAAGTGCGGATTCATTCTATAAATTGCATGAAGGGCACAATTCATAATCCGATCTGTAAACACGGAACGTTTCTAAAATGACGAAATAAAATGGATCATTTCAGTTCAGTTGTACTCAACCTGTATGAGTTCGAATTTGTATGATTGAATCGATAAGATCTGTTCAACCATCACCAAATGTTACCCACTTTGTTTACATAAACAATAAGAACTTTGTTCAAATTCGAGACTCTACCCTAACAACAGTAAATAAGATGATTGCTTTTCGAACAATTATGCACCATATTACTGTGATAATCAAGCTGACAATACTGATTTCTGATCAGTTGCTGATATCAGCGGCCAAAGAATACAGTCGTCAAATAGGTAATAAGCGCGTTTTTTGAGAGCTTAACGAAATTATCAGTGTCGTTCTGTTCAGACACAATGGTCCATTCCTACTCAAAACATAAGCTATAAGTTTTTTTTTATTGAGGTGTGGCAATGGTACAAAGATGCGTGATTACAGCACTAAATAGAAGCATATTCGAAATGCGTCCTACAACACGATACTTCTCAATCGTTCTTCAGATTATTTTGATTAAAGAATGAGTTTGTTACGAAATCTGTCGTTAATGAATGAATTCACTTTTCCTCTTACGTAATAAGGATAGTCGCCTTTCATTCCTATTTAATATCACTTTCCAACGTGCACCATTTAATATCACTCTTGTTAAAATCTTCAGTTTCGTCACTTCGCTTCTTCGCTTTACGTTGTCCACTTGTTATTCAACTACCAAGTCAAGTTCACCTTAAGTTGTGAAGGTTAAGCCAAAAATCTCTTATTTCTTCGTAAAGATAAGAAAAAAGAAACACAGTAGTCCGTGCTAGTGTTCGAAATTTGGACCAATCCCCTCTCTCCTCTCCCTGCGCGAAAATCCTCCGCAGAGGCATGAATCATCACGATAAGTGTCTCGGAAACTGCCTTTCATCTCAGAACATTCCCAGCTGTATTGCGAGTGAATATCATGAGCATTAATGTCTAAACTCCATAGCCAAATAATTTTTTGGCTCAATCAAAACCAAAAAATCGCAACAACAGTTAGTAGTCGAATCTAAAACCTGCCTGATAGATTTTTTTCCCTGGAATATGAGCGAAGCAAAGCAAAGGAGATTTCGTAGCTGAAGACGGAGCCATAGCGAAAAATTTGGAGAATGCGGTTGGGAACTGAAACTGCAGCCGAATTTTCAGAATGCCTAAGCTGGAGGTAGAGACGAATTTTTTCAAAAAGATCCAGCCAGAGGTGGGGCTGAAACTGAAGTTTCAGAATTGCGGATTGGGAGATTAGCCAGTTGTTTTTTTTTTTCAAATTTGGGCATCACTGGTTACAAGCAAGCCTTTATTAAAACCATAATAACGGTGATAAAGAAAGATCAGAACAAATGTTGCACCAATAATAATGACAATTCTAATCTTCTAAAGTTAATGGAGGCACATTAATTTGATGTACTTCAGAATGTGGAAGGACAGAGCACATTAATCAGTGCTCTGCCCTTCCGCATTCTAAACTACATCAATTCATTCGATTGCACTGACTACTCCAACACGTAAATAGCGATGGCTTGTCTTCCTCGTTCGATATAATTATCTGAACGCTTCATTGCAGCAAATCGAAACTTATAGCAGTCTGCGTTACCATATTCGAAAAGCGCTTCAAAAAATTATGTTCTCCATGATACAATCAAAAAAATGAGGAAGCCCCGCGGGGGCTTCAAAATCCCCAGATTCCATGGGCGCACCCGCGGAGAAAATGATTTATCAGAAGTTGTACCACTTCCGCGGGAGGGACCTCCTTCCGAATACTATTCCATATTCATGCGTCGTACTCTTATCATGTTACTTGTTACATTCTTCAGTCATCATAATCAATAGTACATCAATGTATTTGGTGAAGAAACCGTCTAGCTCAGTTACTTCCAGTACGTTGAATCTTAACTGTGTCTTGCTTCTAAACATTGTGGTATTTCGAAACTCACATGGAAATTTCATAATCAAATTGATGCATTGTTGCTATCGAAAAATCCGTCAAAAAGTCGGTTATGATCGCTTGTTCAGATCATTTGCCAAGGTGAAACGATGCCATAGAAATAGCGTTGAGTCGAGACACTGCACACAACAATTTGTATTGTTTTGTTTTGATATCAACAAGATAAGCAACGCTTTTTTCTGAATGCGTTCCATATCATAATGATTGCGATACATTTGTTCTGATGTATTATTGTACTATCTGTGTGATATCGAACAAAACCATTCATTCAAGCAATCACCCATCATACTTCTATCGCTTCATATATTCAAAAGACGCATCTACTTGTTTTATGTATTTGACGAGTATATCGCTAAAATATCTTCAATGCACATCTCACATCCATTCCTCAACATAACACCTATGAAGTTACACAAGAAATAACTTATCGGGCTGATAGTTTCAGTTTTCATTCACAATAAATACTTATAATTGTTCACCTTTTCTCAGTTGTATCCTCAAATTTATTGCAGAACTTTGATCGCTCGAAATGATTCAGTGTTTGCTTCTCTAGAAAAATTCAGTGTTTTTCTAGAATGATAGGAAAGTAGATCTGCAACGTTTCAATTATAGTCGATAATTGCTGACTGATTTCATGAATCATTTGGATCGCCATTGAAGAGTAAAATTCATCAAAACATGGTTTTCATTTACAAAATGTTGCGCAGTGTCTGCTCACATTCATTTATTGCTGCGATGAAATGCTTATGAAATTTATTCGCAACTCATCGTGGTTGTTATCATTCAAGCAGTTCATTACATGCCATTATTAGATTATCAGTATGTTAATCACTCAAACAATTCATCGTATCACTGTTGATGATCGTTGCTGTTTTCGCTCCATTTATTTATTGGTCTTGTTCTGATTCGACTTTTTTCATCGGAAGAACTGAAAATTTGAGAAATCAAATGAATTGCTTTTTCAGTGTAGACATCAAGAAATTATTCTTGATCTTGCATTCAATAACAATTTGGTATTGTTTGAACGAACTGAATTCAGTTTATATCCACAAATTCGCCGTTGTCACGAGTAATATTATTATTATTAACATTGAGTATTTTATTATTGATATTATTATAATCATCACTGATATTGTTATGATGTGATGCGGTGATCAAAATGACAATCTCTCTGATTGCTTGTTATTTGATCTATGGAACTGAGTGATGCGCAAGCACTGCGAATGATAGAATTCATAGACGCTCAATGACGACAGAATTCATTCCATGTTTTGTTCGTGATTGTGGTGTCATTGCCTAGCAGTGGTATACGTCTCTAATTAACGTCTCTAATCAACGGTGTGGAACTATTTATTTTTTGTTATCGCTATTTTTTGTATCAACATCGTTGTTATTATTATGCCTGTTGATTTTGTCGTTTTTAGTGCAGTTGTTTATGTTAAAATTAATGGCAGCGAACTTTGACTGCGTTCGCTAAATTGGAAATCGTTAGTTACGTGCACTAAATTACAAATTTTAATTTCGCTAGATAACAGATCTAGTTCAAGTGCCTTTGTAGATGCCATAAACTTGTCAATTTCGGGATATTTTGACTGCGTCAATGTAAAATGAAACGTTCGAGTAAATGAATGAACATATAGCTGATTGCTTCCATAAATAGCAATTGATCAGCAAACGAATCAGTTTATGAGCGAATTGTGCAGCCGAAATATTTGGTGCATGTTTGGAGGAGTGTTGAAAAAACGTTGTTTGCGAGCGATTTTCGATGGTTCTCGCATTTGCGTCATTGCGTTTAATTGAATGCTGACAGCTTCCTGATGGCTTCCGTTTCGAGTAAATTCCAACCGATTCAAATGAATGTTTTCATCGAATTCAAGCAAAATTGCGTGTTCAATGCAAATTTCCTGCTCATCAAATGATTCGATTGCTTTTGTGAATTAGTGAATTACTCGGATTAATTCTTTCATTCAGTTAGTTGATCATTGACTATCAAGTTGGGCAGGTGCTAATGTGCAGATCAGATCTTTGTTCTGATAATGTGCAGATCAGAACGATTGGTTTAGTTCTGAAAACGGATATTCGATACGAGTGAATATCTGAGCGCTTTCTTTTCGGCTTGTTATTAACTTGTTTTTAGTCGAATCTCTCAAAGTAAATCCCTTCATGAACGAAACGAATAAGAGAACTGGACGCATTCATACTGATGCTTATCGATGTTTAGTATGAGCTTGCTAATCTCATATGCTAATATCGCTATTAATTTATAAGTATTATATAATAGTCAAGCATAAATACGAGTCGTGCTTGGTAGAATGTCGCATAGAAGCAAAGAAAATTAGGAGTAGGAGTTGAACTGCGTACATACACGTATAATGACATCATAAGTCAGAGTACCAATTACACAACGTATCAGATTGATACTATTTTAATTTCCAATTACTTGAGATTAAATGCTTACTTCCTTATCGTTATTGCCATCGCTATGAATTCAGCCTAACTCAACAGATAA